CAAAAAAAAATACGTAACTGTAAAAAAAAAAAAAAATTATTACTGAAATGCAAAAAAGTTATTACTTAAATTTTATTTTTCAATAAGTATTTTTATCATCATTGGTAAAATATGTTGTATTGGCTTCATGATGATTTAAATTAAATTAAATAATTTTAAAAGTGAAGAAAAACAATATAGATAGAATATGTTTAGTATTAATAATATTTTAGATATTATTGAACACATGAAGACTATTATCTTGTGCACACATTAAAAATAATAAAATAACTTCATCAAAAAATACTATTTAAATAAAAAAAAAACACTCCAAAAATATTGTAATGCATACTGTAAAAACAATTTTCACTGAAATGCTAAAAAATGTATATTACTTCAAGTGTAAAAAAAAAAACTAAATTAAATTAAAAACCTTTTAATTAAAATAAAAAAATATATATACTCAGGGATTAAAGTTCCGTTGCTACGACGCATTTCCGTCAGTTCATAAAAACAGTCACGTGCTTCATTCCTGAATGATTCAGCTGTTCGAACGAATCAATTGAATGAATGATTCCGTGATAAAATCAGTGACTTTCCGCCACCTGCTAGCGGATTTAGTTTCATTTTTAGCGTATAATTTCATTTATTTGAATCATTTAATATTTCTGTATTCAAAATTATATATTTAAAACATTATTCTCCACATGAATTTAAGAATTTAATTGCACTCATGCCACTTCTAAGACAAATAAGTTACCAATCATATGAAATTAGTATTAATAAATTAATTTGTACTACAAAGGTGGCACAGAAGAACACAGAAGTGGCTTGTAGGTACATTATCAGATGTTTAATGAGGCTCAGAGGTGGCATGAGTGCAATTAAATTCATAAATTCATGTGGAGAATAATGTTTTATAGGTAACATCATGAAAATCTGACTGTTACGATCTTTAAAAGTCTAGGAGTTGTATCATAACACTTAAAATAGATTATTGCTAGGTGGATTGAAACAGGCAGAAAAGTGACCATAAACACAAATGAAGTAACAATTTATTACCTGAAGCCGAAGCCACAAGAAAAAGGCGTTGTGATGCACTATTTACAGTTTGCTTTGAAATAAAATAATAGTAAAGAAAATTAACAACAATGGAAGTAACGAAGGTTAACAAAAACAATATAGGAAAAAAGGAACTTGAGTGGCGCCCAAATCAAAGAAAACAATAAAACCAAATGATTCCCATAAAGCTCCCCAAGTCCTCTAGCCTAACTAACAAAAGAAGAATGTAGAAAAGAAACCGAAATCTTCAGCGTATCGACGCTCTAAATATAACACTCCTACCACTAAAAAAAAACTAATTACAGGGGGGGCGCACACCGCTTGCCTAATGTGTCTAGACACTCATTGTTACTACGTGCAAAGTGTATATCGCGCGATATCCTTACCCGTTCCTTTTTCCCTAATTAAGGAATAAACGAACCGTACCTCAAATACACAGCAAATGCTAGACACACAGAATTAACGAGTAAGATACCAAAACTAATCTCAGCAAACCAAAACACACAGACACAAACACACCGCCACCCCACGAGGTTCACGGGAGGACCTTTTAAACCGGCAGGGCAACAGCGGATTGGGCGCAGAGGGTGACGTCACAATTATGACTGGCAGCCGACAGGTCCAATCAGGAACCTAAGAGCGAGGCAGCAGAAACAAGACGAGAGGGTGGGAAGGAAGAAACACATACGCATAGCACGTAACACTGATTTTTCCAGGTTTTAAGTGCTATAATCAGGTCCCCGGTGCATCTACCAACCAAGGAAACGTGAAAAAGATTAACCCAATCACTTTGTTTTGGCAAGCCTTTTTCTGCAAGCGTCTGAGAAAACGAGCGCGTCTGATATTGCTCCCCTAGTGATGTCACAAAGGGATCTCATTATAATATTACCACCCCTTAATCTTTAAACTTCCACTCAAGGCACCGTCATTTTGATTTCACAAGCGACAACGGTGTACTTGTTCTAATGCCATGACGAAAGTTTGAGCAGAACATGCTAACGGTTCTGACTTTGGCTGCACAGACGAGCACAGAACAATATTTACAGTTCCAGCCTCAAGGGAGACAAGACAGCAGTGGATTATTTTTATTTAGGCTACTGTAAATTGCAGCTGCCACACAGATCTAAAATAAACAAGCAATTTATTTCCCAGCTGTTTACCTTCACAGACATAACCCACTGTTTTTGTAATGCGTGTGTTTTTAAGGTAAACTTGTGTGTGAATGAGAGCTTAGTTTAGTGCTCACATGCTGTGACAGCCGCTTTCTGTGTGTGTGCTTCAGATGTGTGCACTCAGAAAACCGTATATATGAAGTTTAAACTCATATGGTTTAAAACGCATGATTTCAGCACGATAAACATGATAATCAGAACCAAAACAGATGTTTTTTAGCAGGTCCGAGCTGTAATGGCGCAGCTCTATTCTGGAAACAGGGGCGTGGAGCAGCAGCTCATTTGCATTTAAAGACACAGGCCCGAAAAACAGCTTGTTTCTGCTTCCACTCAAAATAGGCATTTTCAAAAATTATATAATAAATGATCTGTGGAGTATTTTGAGCTGAAACTTCACAGACATAATATGTCACCTTTAAATATAAAATTTTGAATACAGAAATATGATTCAAATAAATTAAATTATACGCTAGAAATGAAACTAAATCCGCCAGCAGGTGGCGGCAAGTCACTGATTTTATCACTGAATCATTAATTTAATTGATTCGTTTTGAACGGCTGAATCATTCAGGAATGAACAAGTGACTGTTTTTATGAACTGACGGAAATCAGTCGTAGCTATGGAACTTTAATCCCTGTAAACTTTTAAATAAAAGAAAACACTGTAATTACACTATTGAGAATCCAACAAGCATCACTGGTAAAATAGGCTGTACTGCCTTCATGGTGATTTTAATTAAATAATAAAATAATTAACAAAAAAATGCATAATTTCAGTTAGGGTGAAGAAAAGCTTTTGGCTTCTCTTCTGAGGCCACAAGAGGGCGCATCATTCAAAGCATAAGATAACATTACTATCTTCTAAAAAAAGTGCATAATGTTTATAATAATGTTTATAAACCAATTAGGGCTGGGTATCGATTCACATGTCCCGATTCGATTCGATTTCGATACGCAAGCTCTCGATTTGATTCTCGATTTTTTTGATTACATTCAGTGAATATAGTTTTTATACAAATGCTATTGATATTTCTAAAAAATGAACAGTAAACATCAGTTTACAAATTATGAATTAATAAAAAGAAATTAAGAACCACATGCCTGTATTTTAAACCTATTCTTTTTTTGTATAGCGTCCTTTTTTAAACAATAATAGGGCCCTATAAAATGTTCTTAATTTTTCTGGTAATCAGATGAAGGCATAAAACATTAATATAATTTATCCAAATCAAATGAAAATTAAACCCTTTTATTTTTTGGCAAACAAAGTGCTGCACACCAGATGGCCATGATAAGTGCTGAATGAATGACAGGCTTTCTGTTGTAACATCGCGCAAGGTAAATAAGGGTGACATCTAGTGGAGAAGACTAATGATAAGATTCACGTTAATCAGATCTTGTTTTAAATGTGTGCAGAAATAAATTCTGGAAAAGATCGATTTGCGGCTTTTGAGAATCGATGTCATTTAAAAAAAACAATTAATCGGAAAATCGTATTTTTTTTGCCCAGCCCTAAAACCAATTATAATTAAGTTGCTTAAACAACTATAAACAAAACAGCATCATGTATGAATGTATAGTTTAATACAAAGCGCCAAAAGACAATCACACAGAGTACATTTTTCATTTAAAAACATGAGTTGCAGTGGGATGGGGAAAAACCCGCCATTAAGTCTCGATATTTATTTTTTCAAAGTTAAACTTGCATTAATTTTATATGGCTTTCTAAACATGCGGCTCTTTTGTGCGAGACGCGAGTGCAACAGTAATAGATGTCCCTCTAGAAAATGTGTGAAATATGCATTCTGTGTGAACGGCTTGGTTTCAGTTTTGATGTAAACAAGATTTTCTCCGCATTGATGTTCTCTTTTTCCGCTATATTTTTAATGAGCTAGTGGCTTCAACTGGATAGACTAACAAAACATTATAATGCAACGACACTTACATCGTCATCGTATCTCGTGCGCCACTGATAAGGCTGCCTCCTTAACGCACACCTAAAATTCAAATGCAACATTTTTTCATTCGAATGTGGATTTTTATTTTAAATTCGACGAATATTCGAAATTCGAAAAAAAAATTGACAGCCCTAATACACACACACACACATTTAGGCTTATATATATATATATATATATATATATATATTTATGTGTATATAACACATATATATATATATATATATATATATATATATATATATATGTGTTATATACACATAAATATATATATATATCTATATATATATATATATATATATATATATATTAACTTGTGCATATAGTTAAATGAAAAACTATAGATATTGTAAATATTATGGTTTAGACTATTAACTTGTGCATATAGTTAAATGACCCAGTGTGGTGTCAAATGAACGTATAACCTGGAGTCCAGCAGCACAGAAGAAGAGTTTGACGGCCTGTGGAGCAGATGAACTGGATTCAGACTCGTTTCTGGCCGCCGGCGAAGCATCATCCAGCAGTCCAGTCTTAGATTCATTCCCAAACACACACGTCTTTATGACAGGAAAACAAAGCCCACGACCTGCACAAACATCTGCAGTATGTCAAGAATCAGGTACTTTCTGTAAACTGTCAGTTTCTGAACACGGGAGCTGCTGCTACAATAATGCATACATTAATATTGTGTTGATGACTTTAAACTATGTTCAGGTCGAAATACAAAATCAAAATTGATGCAAGCAACCTTGTATGAAATAATAGTGGACATTAGTAGGAAACAATATGTGGGGAAAATACTTTTTTTTTTTTAATGAACATAAGTAGGAAAGTGGAAATATATATATACATATATATATATTAGTGCTGTCAAACAATTAATTCCATACAAAATAAAAGTTTTTGTTTGCATAGTATGTGTGTTCTGTGTATATTTATTATGTATACATAAATACACACATACAGTAATATTTTGAAAATATTTACATGCATTTACATGTCTATATTTATATTATAAATAAATATATTTAATAAATAAACAACCTATTTTTCTGAAATATATACATGCATGTGTGTGTATTTACATATACATAATAAATATACACAGAACACATACAAATATTATGTAAACAAAAACTTTTATTTTTATATTATTATTTGACAGCACTATAATATATATATATACAACTTGGAAGAAAAGAAGAGGTGAAACAATTATAGTGTACATAAGTTGGAAAAATAACGGGTAAAAATATTTTTAAAATGTAGGATTAAATAAGTGGGGGAAAAATTACAGGGGACATAAATAGGAAAAAAGAGGGCAAAAAATTAATTATGGCAGACATAAGTTTCAAAAATAACGGGTAAAAAATATTATAAAAATAATAATATAATTTTTGACATAAGTAGCAAAAAATAAGCGGCAAAAAAATAAAAAAATACAATGGACATAAGCAGGAAAAAATAAGTTAAAATAATTATAGTGGACATAATGAGTGGTAGAAAAAAATATCACAGTGGACATAAGAGGGGAAACTAAACTTTTGACTTCAACAAACCGGTTTCTAGATAGTTGATTCGTTTGAAGTAGCTGATTAGGAAATATCCAGGGATGATGATGGTGGCGTAGCCCAAAACATTGAGGAACAAGCGGAAGAGCCACACGTCCTGCCAGCCTCCCAGCAGCGAAGCGTCTTCAGCGTCGGCAAACACAGACGGCAGAACGCACAGCGCCGCACACCAACACAAACTGAGGAGAAAATATCACACATTACTCTCGCTACAGTACACATGTCCACTTATCTTTACTGAACCAAACCAAAGGAGGAAACCAAAACTGTCACACATCTGCAAACCTGCTCGAAATGCAACACAGGAGTCTGTAGAAAAGAAATCAGGTGTAACTGCATAATTCAGCGCTCCTGTCACAGAAGCGTTCCTGTGTGTCGCGGGAATTCGGCATTCGTGGAATCCAGCAGGTCTGATCCCATTCCAACAGAACGGCTCTGTGTTCAGAGCTCAGGACGCCACAAACTAACCCCTGTTCCACCTGTGTTACCCGACACCTCCATTAGACGAGTCGAGCGCTTCATTAAACCAGGAATGCGTCACAATGTGAATTCAAAGCGTTGTAATTAACAGACTTCAACAAGCGTCTCTGAGACTTCATTCAGCAAACAGTTTCCACACCTTCTGACCAGTGAATTTCCACGGCTCTCCCAGCTTACTGAATACTCTCTCTTTAAAAAAGAACTGTTTCTAGCAGATTAAATCACTTAAAACTGGAGCTCAACTATATATGTGGGGGTAAAAAAAATACATAGTAAACAGGGCTCTACGCTTACTTTTCTTTTTACTTAAATTTAGGAGCACGTTCAAAATTTTTGGAGCACCTTCTAAACAATTATCCAAAATGTTATCAAAAAAGTAGCCTTCCCATTACGAGGTGATATTTGACTCCTCTAACTTTATTAAAAAAAGCATGTCATCTTTAGTCAAATTCTTTAAAAAAAAATTATATTTTATAAGCTTTTTAAAAATTGTAATTAAAATGACAGAATAAGAACAAGTAGAATAAGACATAGAAGTTACCAATCGAATCAAATCAGTATTAACAAAATTAATTTGTACAGCGGTGGCACAGAAGAACACAAAAGTGTACTTTCAGACATTTGATGAGGCTCAGTGGAATGAGTGCAATTAAATCCATCAATTCATGTTGATATAAATGTTTTAAATTATAAAATTTTCAATATAGAAATATTAAATTATTTAAATAACAAAAGATACTTTAAAAATGAAACTAAAACTGCCAGCAGGTGGCGGCAAGTCACTGATTTGATCACTGAATCATTCATTCATTCGATTCATTCGAACGGCTGATTCATTCAGGAATGAATCAAGTGACAGTCTTTATGAATGGGTAATCATGAATCACTGACTCACTAGATTCGTTTAAAAACAGTTCATTCGTAAACGAGTTCCGCCGTGTCTTTGTTTTAAACTATTTTCGACGACGAAATAGAGCAGCAGTTTTTTACAAAATGATATCTTATGTACTGAAAGAAGTCTCTTATGCTCACCGAATTAAAACAGTAAAATTGTGAAATATTATTACAATTTACAATAAAGGTTTTCTATGTGCATGTTTTAAAATGTAATTTATTTCTGTGATCAAAGCTGTATTTTCAGCATCATTCCTCCAGTCTTCAGTGTCACATGATCTTCAGAAATCAGCATAATATGCCGCTTTGCTGCAAAATTATCAATTATTGTTTTTTCCCCCCAAAATTCTTTGATATACAGAAAGTTCAAATGAACAGCATGTATTAGAAAGCAGTATTGATAGCCTACATAAGCAATTTTACATAAAAGCAGGCATCATGCCAGTGTTAAAGAGCTGTCCGAGAGTGTTGCATTAAAGGTGACTCTGCCGTTAGAGATGTCATGTTTAAGTGTTATTGTGATGTCTCAGTACCTCCATGCAAACAGAGGCATTTTCCACCAGCGCTTCAAAACTCCCGAAAACAGCCGCTCAGAGACTTCTCCAGACGGGCTCCAGCGCCGAACATGTATCGATGAAGCCTTCGGACAGAAATTAAACCATGCACATCCAGGATCCGGATAAATCCCGAGTGTTTCTGAGCGAAAACTTCTCGGCCTGCTTCATTCATGAGTTCCTCTGGACTGACGACGTGTTAACGCCATAGACACACACCGCAGCACTTCCGGTTTGCGAAAGGAGACACACCTAGTTTCCTCTTGGATTTAGTATTACGAGGCTTCGGTAAATATTTGAAGGTTTTATTGCCTAACAGTCGTGTTGACACAGTTCAGAGAGTAAAATGTCTTTGGGTTTGTGGGCGGGGTGATTCATTATGCTTCATGAGGGACTTTTAATTTGAAATTTACTCGGCGCAGATTCTCAATGCGCTGGAATGTGTAGCGCCCCTCTGTTGTCAGGCGACACTGCAACGTATCATAATATCTTTTTAGAAATATTAGAATTATAATAATATCTGCTTCTCTGTGATTTTTTTTTTTTTAAATATTGCTAAAATATTTATAAACTTTTGCGCATCTCATTGTAAAACTAAAACGTTTTGATAGTATGTATTTAGCCGCCAAATATTAAAAATAAAATTTTAAAACATTACAAGATTGTAAATTTACTAGGATACACATTTACTTTGAGCGTTTAGTTGTTTCTATATTATGCGTTTTAATTTGAATATTGTTAAAATATTTTCATAAAATGGTTTAAAAGTTGCAATATTGCATATTTTATTGTAACGCTTAAATGTATGCATAAATGCATGTTAAAAACATTAAGACTGTAAATTTACTAGGATATACATTTAGTTTTAACTACTGCTTTTTTCTTCATTATTTTTATTAATTTATTATTTGTAAGCTAAGTCAAGTCACCTTTATTTATATAGCGCTTTTAACAATACAGATTGTGTCAAAGCAACTGAACAGCATTAATTAGGAAAATAGTGTCAATAATGCAAAATGACAATAGTAAACACTCATTTTTCAGTTAAAGACAGTTCATCATTGAATTCAGTGATGTCAACATCCAGCTCAGTTTAAATAATATCTTTGCAATCATGTCAGCGATAACGCTGGAAATGAAGTGTCCCCAACTAAGCAAGCCAGAGGCGACAGCGGCAAGGAACCAAAACTCCATCGGTGACAGAATGGAGAAAAAACCTTGGGAGAAACCAGGCTCAGTCGGGGGGCCAGTTCTCCTCTGACCAGACGAACCAGCAGTTCAGTTCCAGACTGCAGCAAAGTCAGATTGTGCAGAGGACTCATCTGGTTCCTGTGGTCTTGTCCCGGTGGCCGTCTGAGACAAGGTCTTTACAGGGGATCTGTATCTGGGGCTCATCTAGTTGTCCTGGTCTCCGCTGTCTTTCAGGGCTGTAGAGGTCCTCTCTAGGTGCTGATCCACCATCTGGTCTGAATACGACCAGATCATGATCAATAATCATATAGTGCCATATTAGAAAAAGAAAATAAATGTAACAAACATATTTAGAAGTATCAAATCTATTTAGACAATTTTGCTTAAAAATATTAATTTCTTTTTCTAACATATGCATTTATTTATATAATTAGTCACCAAATACAACTGCAATAATACAGTATACGGTCATATTTTAATGAATATATTAGAGCTCAAGATACATATAATTATAGCTAATTCTCTTGAAATGTTCTTTTTTTAAACATGATTCAAATTCCTATTATTAAATTGTTTTCTCGGCACTCGTGTGATTCCGAAATATTAAACAGCTTTTTAAATAGATTTTACAAAATGTTGCAATGTTGCACATTCATTGTAACTTACTGTACTTCTTAATGGATTTTAATATTATGATCATTATTAATTACAACATATATAAAATTAACATTTATTATAATTTATTAATGAAAATAAATGAATACTTTTTTGTTAATGTTTATAATATTTAGTATGGAGTATAACAAATGTTGAAAAAATAAAACCTTAAACATTAGAAGATTGTCAATTTACTAGCATGCATATTTAGTTTCAGCTGCTTCGTTGTTATTTTTCTCAAAAATCATATTGCTATATTAGAAAAGTAACAAAAATATTTATAAGCATCAAATATTGTAAAAAAAAATGTATTTAATTTTGCACAAAAAAAAACTTTTTTTTTCTAAAAGTCAGCATTTAATGCTATATTTAGTCACTAAATATGATGGCAATCATATGCTGTACAGGAAAGAAAGGAAATTAATATTAATTTACAAGAAAATATACTTGTTTCACATGAAGTGGAAACAGGTTTTAACCTGTCTGAGTTTACATGAATGGGACACATTTTTGGTAAGTTATGAGGATTATGAAGATTGATGTGGCACATGATTGGAAACACACACACACACAGTTTCACTCCATGCTGTTCTTTTTACAAATTTACCAGGAACTTGTTTTTGTGGCTTTTCCTGTATGTTCTGCTCATTGCTGTATCAATACTCATGAGCACTGCAGCACATTTCTCCTCTTAAAAACTCCAGAGCATGACTCTGTCGCCAGTGTCTGTTTGGTTTGTGTTATACGCAGCGTTTAACATTGAAAACCAAAATGTAAATGATATGGTTGTGAAGCAAGCATCATAGCTGCTGGCAGATGTTCACGGTACCCAGATAACTCAAAAAAGCTCTCGTTAAAAAGCACTTGCATTCTTAGTAGAAAGAATACGCTGCACGTAAATATGAGAAGCTCACGACAGTCCTGCCCATGATCTGAATGTCGTCGAAGGGGAACAAGGCCAAAATCTGCAAAAGCAAAAGGAGAAACGGTGATCACATCATCCCATTTCTAATGCAAAGCTCACCGAGCAAATGCAGTTACTGTATGCTGCTTTACAGTAAAACAGTGACAGACTTCTTGCTGACTTTAAAACCCTGAATTCAATAAGAACATCGTTGCACATCATGCACACTAATAATCAACACATAATCTATCACTCATTATGCAAGACATTATAAACAACATTAGTATTATTTATACACTTTTATAGAATTTATTCATATTTTGTTTATTATTGTTTTATTTATTTTATTCTTAACTTATATTTTTCATCTTTCATTTTGTTTTGTTCTGTCATTTTTACTAATATTTGTATTCTATTTAGCTTAATTTTTTTTTCAGATTTCAACTTCAACTTTTATTTCAGTTAGTTTCTAGAGTCTTTTTGAACATGTTGTTATGCAGTATTTTTAGATGCGCTATTATGTGCTTTTGTCATTTTTATTCGTTTTCGTTGTTTTGAAACGTTTTTCTTTAGCTTTATTAAACTCTTGTTATATATATATATATATATATATATATATATATATATATATATATATATATATGCAGGGTTTGAAATTTGGCGGGTTACTTTTCGTAAGTTATATGTTCACTCATTTATTTCTTGGGGAACTTCATGCAAGCCAAATCTGCGCAGGTTTAGCGCACATACTGAACATTATGACATTATGAGTATATTGCAAAAACCAAACAAAACACACCTACAGCGTGCACGCATAATAAGAGACTAACGTGATGAAGTCTGATTAGACAACACAGGCTTTAGTGCGTGTGCGCATTTAGAGTGCGTTCTTTCACTGCATGATTCAGTCTATTAATATGCATTAAGAATGATCACATCATTCAAGATAAGGGGGCAGAAAATGTATATATTTATATAATTTCATACAGTTAATCAATATCACACGAAGAGTGCCGTTTTTTTTTTTTTTTAAAGCATGGTTAAAAACGTGATATTGATTTTATACAACAGTTCAATAAACAATAAGTTAATATCAAGATACTTACATTTTAGATAACATATTGGCTGTTTTTGCTCTATTCCGCCAACAAAAATCATTCTAAACACAGCCACAGCACTGTTTTGCGTCTCTGAGCAACATGACGGTGTTTCGTAACTGAATGAATCAACCGTTTAAATGATTCGGTTCAATCGCAATAACTCACTTAACAGTGACTTGCTGCCACCTACTGGCGGTTTTAATTGTTTTAATTTCACATTTCACGTATCTTTTCATTTTTAAAATAATTTCCAAATGTCAGTATTCAACATTTCATGTTTAAAATATCAAAACATTACTTATGCATTTGTAACTGCAGGTTAAAGCATCCCATGTCCCTCTAAGCTGCACTAAACATGTGTAAATACATCTAAATGCCACTTCATATGCAACTTCTGCAAAGATAAATTTTGTTGATATTGATTTCATTTGTTTAGTAACAGCCTAAATGTATTATTATTATAATTGACTGATTAAATATAAGAATTTTACTCAAAAGATGATGCAAAAAATGGCTTTATAAAAGGTAAAAATCAATTTAAACTTATTGGAAAAGATTAATTTATATGCTGTGAACTGACCACACAGAATATGAAATATATATTAAAAAAACTTTAGGCGTCAGCTGTCCACGGTAGTCCTTATAGCAGCACAATAACACACTCAGCAAAATATTGTCTAATTAACTTTATCGATATAAAATTCCAGAAAATATTGAAATATAATTTTTTTGTCAATATCACACACCCCTAGTACTGACACAAAATGATTTGCAACGGTCGCTTTGTCACGCCCAGTGTAGACAGCCCCAAGCTGTTGGTTTATTTAAGTTTATTTTTTTATTTATTTTTGGCTAGTAGAAGTTATGAATGGCCGGTAACTTGAAAATGTTGTAGCCAAATTAGCTGGTGAGTGAAAAAGTTCATTTCAATCCCTGAATATACGTGTGTGTGAAGAGTTCATTTGCAAAAACAGATAACTCAAAAATCATCTCAATCAAACTGCAGTTGGGTTATTTTGATTAGGTTAAAAAAATAACTAAAATATACAGCTAACTAACACAATAAAAACTATGATAACAATAAAAAACATGATTTTTGAAAATAAAAAAAACAAACAGTTATCCGTTTTTGCAAATAAACTCTTCGTATACACACACACACATATATACATATTTTATTTCAGCCTTAATTCAATTAACAAAAACAAAAAGTTTGTTTTAATTAACAATAATAACAACATCGATATAGTCGGTTGAGACTGAAAGAGGCACCGTCTGACTCTGCAGATTTTGTTCAACTTTTAAGCTTTTTTGTTAGATAATAATTAGTGCTGTCAAACGATTAATCGCGATTAATCGCATCCAAAATAAAAGTTTTTGTTTGCATAATATATGTGTGTGCTCTGTGTATATTTATTATGTATACATAAATACACACACATACAGTATATCTTTTGAAAATATTTACATGTCTATATTTATATTCATATAATTTATATTATAAATAAATATATGTAATATATAAAAATAACGTTTTTCTGAAATATATATGTGCACGTGTGTGTATTTATATATACATAATAAATATACACAGCACACACACATTATGTAAACAAAAACTTTCATTTTGGATGCGATTAATCGCGATTAATCATTTGACAGCACTAATAATAATGTAATTTGGGTCTCCTCACATCATCATTGCCGTCGGCTAGATCCAGGGCCGTCTCGTCCTCCATGTTTCTGATCATCTTGTCGGCTCCAGCTTGGCACAGGAGGTTAGCGATGGCGGCGTCCTGTCGGCCCACAGCCAGATGCAGCGCGGTGCAGCCGTTAAACATGGCGGCGTCTACATTGGCCCCTTTGTTGAGCAGCAGGTTCACCGCCGGCACGTCGTGCAGCTCCACCGCCACGTGTAACGCCGTCTTCCCGCTCGTCCCCTCCTGAGGAGAAACCCGACAGACGTTTGGTCACAAGACTGAAGGCTTTCACTTCACACAACAGATCAGCTGCAGCAGCTCACCTGGATGTTCAGATCCACAGCGCTCTTCATCAGCAGCCGCAGGAGACGATGATGCTTGTGCAGCACAGCCACGTGGAGACACGTCAGACCTGCACAATAACAGCAGAGCGCATATTTTATTATACCTCCATTAATACGTGACCCTGGACAGATACAACTATTTGAAAATCTGGAATCTGAGGGTGCAAAAAAATCTAAATATTGAGAAAATCATCTTTAAAGTTGTCCAAATGAAGTTCTTAGCGATGCATATTGCTAATCAAAAATTAAGTTTATATATATTTGCAGTAGGAAATTTGCTAAATATCTTCATGGATCATGATCTTTACTTAATATCCTAATGATTTTTGGCATAAAAGAAAAATCTATAATTTTGACCCATACAATGTATTGTTGGCTATTGCTACAAATATCCCCCAGCGACTTAACACTGCTCTTGTGCTCCAGGGTCACACATGAGACAGCAGCTGACATGAAGAGAAAACTGAATGATGAAGACGACGTTATGAAACGCTGATACTGGAAGTTCATGACAACATGGAAAAACTCCAGGGCACTTTTTGCTTCCAACTTCCTTGTTCTGACACAACCGTTTCTGTTCACTAAAAAACCTCATGATCCAGTCAGAATCAACACAAGAGAAGGAACCAACGTCACAGAAGTGTGACTGCATTTCTCAAGATGACTCTTCCCAATACACACGCCAGAAAACACAGAAATAGATGCTGTATCTTTATCTGTGCATGTTAGGCTACAGTGCACTTGCTAGGGTGTTTTGAGCATGTTGCTATCATATGCAGTTGCTACAACAAAACACAGAGGAATCCGTCATGTCTGGAGCACAAACGCTGCAGGACCATTTACACACTCAGCGAGGCCCAGCAGAGCTCTGTTCAGTTCACTAACGAATATGAGGACTCTCACCTCTCCAGTTCTGTGCTTCCAGCACGCTGGCGAGTTTGCTGGGCGAGGCGTTGTGGATCATCTCATTGGCACAATCCCAGAATCCGTGCTCACACGCCACATGGAGAGGGGTGTTTCCCTCCTGGTCCTGGAGCTCCAGTGAGACCCTCTTTTCCACAAGGCCCTTCACTACGGCGGGCTGGTTCAAGTACGTGGCCAGATGCAACGGCGTCTACGGACAGCAGAATTAAGTATAAGCATCGGATAAAACGCATAAAACATTGCACGGTCACATGAAAATAGATCTGATCCTGGACATTATAGTGTTTTTCTGTAATGACAAAATAGTAACAGCTATTGATATATTTAAAAAATATATATTAAAATGTATCATTTAAATAAATAAATAAATAAATAAATAGTGTGTGTGTGTGTGTGTTTTTTAAATACATTTACATTTTATATGAAATATACATAATTACAGTTAAACAATGTATTTCATTATTATTTTTATAAAACATATTACTTTATGATTACAATAATCAATTTAAGCTATCATTAAGCTAAATGCATATTAAAATAATTAGCTTAATTATATAATTACAATTATTTTAATATGTACTGTATATTACTATGTATAAATTAGTATAATATATATATATATTTTTTAAATATTGAAATAATAATAAAAATATATGTGAGTGTGAGTGTGTCTGTGTGTGTGTGTGTGTGTGTGAGTGAGTGTGAGTGTGAGAGTGTGTGCGTGTGCGAGAGTGTGTGAGTGTGTGTAACGTGTGAGTGTGTGTGTGTAATGTGTGTGTGAGTGTGTGTAATGTGTGAGTGTGTGTGTGTGTGTGTATACAGTATATTAGGGGTGTAACGATACACGTATTCGTATTGAACCAGTCGGTACGAGGCTTTCGGTTCGGTACGCATTACAAACCGAACGATTCGTTGGAGTAATCCTATTACATTTGGAAAATAAAAGAGCTTTAAGTGTGTGAAATTAAATATGTACTCCAGGTTGTGACAGTGAGGTAGTTCGTTATAGTTTTCTTTTATTCACTTTTAAATAGCTTGTAAATGCCTGTGCGAATTAGCATCAATTCAGCGTCAACTGATTGAATGGACAACAACAAAACAGTACGACAAACTCACATTCAACATAGAATGTTTAATTTATTAACAAAAAAGGTACAAATACACTATGCTATAGGCCTAATATAAAATAACAAATAACTTGCACTAAGTTTAAATATAAAACACTGAAAATCAGCAAACACGGTGGAACCAAATAAATAAGAAACAAATTTTTAAAAAGCTTCCAAAATCATCTTAGAAAGAGTGTGTGAGTGTGTGTAACGTGTGAGTGTGTGTGTGTAATGTGTGTGTGAGTGTGTGTAATGTGTGAGTGTGTGTGTGTGTGTGTATACAGTATATTAGGGGTGTAACGATACACGTATTCGTATTGAACCAGTCGGTACGAGGCTTTCGGTTCGGTACGCATTACAAACCGAACGATTCGTTGGAGTAATCCTATTACATTTGGAAAATAAAAGAGCTTTAAGTGTGTGAAATTAAATATGTACTCCAGGTTGTGACAGTGAGGTAGTTCGTTATAGTTTTCTTTTATTCACTTTTAAATAGCTTGTAAATGCCTGTGCGAATTAGCATCAATTCAGCGTCAACTGATTGAATGGACAACAACAAAACAGTACGACAAACTCACATTCAACATAGAATGTTTAATTTATTAACAAAAAAGGTACAAATACACTATGCTATAGGCCTAATATAAAATAACAAATAACTTGCACTAAGTTTAAATATAAAACACTGAAAATCAGCAAACACGGTGGAACCAAATAAATAAGAAACAAATTTTTAAAAAGCTTCCAAAATCATCTTAGAAAAACGGCAAAGGTCAAAAGGCCTTCCAAAGTCTAACATATTTTTAAGATCATACTTTATGATGTTAGTTTTAATAAATAAAAAATTTTAAAGATCAAGGAAATTTCTCTGGCATTTCTTTGTTTTTGCTGTACGCATTACAAACCGAACGATTCGTTGGAGTAATCCTATTACATTTGGAAAATAAAAGAGCTTTAAGTGTGTGAAATTAAATATGTACTCCAGGTTGTGACGGTGAGGTAGTTCGTTATAGTTTTCTTTTATTCACTTTTAAATAGCTTGTAAATGCCTGTGCGAATTAGCATCAATTCAGCGTCAACTGATTGAATGGACAACAACAAAACAGTACGACAAACTCACATTCAACATAGAATGTTTAATTTATTAACAAAAAAGGTACAAATACACTATGCTATAGGCCTAATATAAAATAACAAATAACTTGCACTAAGTTTAAATATAAAACACTGAAAATCAGCAAACACGGTGGAACCAAATAAATAAGAAACAAATGTTAAAAAAGCTTCCAAAATCATCTTAGATAAACGGCAAAGGTCAAAAGGCCTTCCACATTTTTAAGATCATACTTTATGTTAGTTTTAATAAATAAAAAAACTGTAAAAATCAAGGAAATTTCACTGGCATTTCTTTGTTTTTGCTGTATCGAAAACGTACCGAACCGTGACACCGCTGTGTCGTATCGAACCAAACCGTGAATTTTGTGAAACCGTTAACCAAACCGTTACACCCCTAGTATGTATATATATAGTAGTATGTATAAACTTCATTTGGACAACTTTAAAGATTATTTTCTCAATATTTAGATTTTTTTGCTCCCTCAGATTCCAGATTTTCAAATAATTGTATCTCGGCCAAATATTGTCCTATCCTAACAAACCAGACATCAATGGAAAATTATTTATTCAGCTTTGTATAAATCTCAATTTTTAAATATTGACAGTTAAGACTGGTTTTGTGGTCCAGGGTCACATACATACATACATACATATACATTAAAAAATTTTAAAGATCAAGGAAATTTCTCTGGCATTTCTTTGTTTTTGCTGTATCGAAAACGTACCGAACCGTGACACCGCTGTGTCGTATCGAACCAAACCGTGAATTTTGTGAAACCGTTAACCAAACCGTTACACCCCTAGTATGTATATATATAGTAGTATGTATAAACTTCATTTGGACAACTTTAAAGATTATTTTCTCAATATTTAGATTTTTTTGCTCCCTCAGATTCCAGATTTTCAAATAATTGTATCTCGGCCAAATATTGTCCTATCCTAACAAACCAGACATCAATGGAAAATTATTTATTCAGCTTTGTATAAATCTCAATTTTTAAATATTGACAGTTAAGACTGGTTTTGTGGTCCAGGGTCACATACATACATGCATACATATACATTATATATATATATATATACACACACACATACATACATGCATACATACTAGGGCTGCACGATAAATCGAAATGGAATTGAGAATCAGAAGGATTTATTTCAAACACTCGACTGACGTTACGAAGTGAGTTTGGAGTAAAAATAGGTTATTAAATGTGGTATTTTCACATGCTTTCAGATGGAGCAGCATTTACTTCACAGAGCCGTAGTTCACTGAGAAGCTATGCAAACAGCTGTCACTATCACAAACGATTTCTTCGATTTCAGAATCGCGCAATAAAATCGTCTGCGTTTTTTTGGCGTAGCTTGTCAGTGAACTACGGCTCTGTGCAGTAAATGCTGCTCCATCTGAAAGCATGTGATGATGATTTCCTGCTGATTACAGAACCGGCTTTTTTAACAAAATGCGCATGACAATCACATTCGATTAATCATGCAGCCCTAATACATACACAATTTTATTTATTATTAAATATTTATTTTATTCTTTTTTTTTATTAATATAAACCCAATCTGCCAAAAGGGTACATGTGAATCGAAGTATTCTTTTTTTAATGCAACAGGATATGTTGGGTTATGTGCAGTCTGGGGACGGTCCCCATGTCTCAAATGCAAAGATTACAACCCCAATGCTTCAGGCCATCATGCTCGATCTGACAGTTAGCCTGTGTGGGTTAGCAAGAGCATAGTAGAATGGCATTAATCCACAGACCCTTTTGATTTTAATCCCATCCAGGAAGGACAAGAAGATCTGGGGTTATTTTATTCCTAAGAAGAGGGACCATGCACAGGTTTACTCAATCTGGGAGTTACACACTGACTGTGTCAAAAGGAAACATGCGAGTAATATGTCAATTGGCCTGGCCTTAGTTGATTACGTGGCTTTTGGTAAAAGTGCAGCAGCACCAGTATTACTCACAGCTGTAAGTGCTGACTGTCAGATTTGTGCTGCGTTTCCTTTAGACTCACACCCTGATGTGCTTTAAGACCCAAATCTGACATCTTCTTATCTAATAAACCCAACTAGCATCAAATCCAACCTCAAACAGTGCTTCAATAATGTGACATTTTGGGCCTAAACAGGATATTTAATGTAGGAAAAGATGGTGTGATTTTTATCCATCGGGAATCGATTGGATTGCATATTGGATTGGGTTTTCCCTTTCCAGAAAAGCAAAGTTGTTTCTTTAGGCGGAGCAAGTTATTACATTTCATGAAAGGTGACGACATTTTCTTTCTGTGAATAGCACGTACTGGTGAATCACTGACGAGAAGCAGGGCTGACTTTGATTTCAAACTGACTGTAATCTAAAACTAGACAAATGAATCAATGTTCATATTAACTACTAGAGTATTCTGAACAAAAAAGGTCACATTTTTGGATAAGCTCCACAATGTCTAGTGATCCCAACCCTTTTGACCAACGCATTTCTATCATTCATGATTTCTGAGAAAATATATTGCAGCAGAGCACGACGAGAAACATCGGTGTTCCTATTCCAGTGAGATTGACTGTCAAATCCCAGTTTGAACCCTCTGATGCATGCATTTTTAATAAAGAAATCCCTTTAATATGTTTCTTTTTTCTTCAAAGCAAGAACATTATCATGTTCTTTCCCCAAAAATGATGTATTATAATGTGAAAGTTACGCATCAGTCCATCCGATATTCCAGAGGTGCATCACCACTTTCCATGGTGAATTTGTGAGTAATCACAATAATCACCTGTGGTTATTTTAGGTGTTACATCACACCCTGAATGCTTAACACAGCTTTAGAGGGTAATTCATTGATATTTCCAGGTTTCCATGACTGTGAATATTAATCAGTCTGTTGACTTGGCCACAGCTTCCTTCTACCAAAATGCCAACAAAAAGTCAATAAATGGTTAATTTTGCTCTTCTAACTATAACAATCACACTTATAGTCTGCATAGGTGGTTTCTTCAGAAAGCCCCTCGTCTGTTGTCACCGGATAAACCCCAAATTTCAAAATAACAATTGAAACCAAGGCTATCAAACGAGTGTAATAAACCCCCATCATTCTTTGATACACGCTCAGGGAGTTTCCCTCAAAGGGGAAACAAAAATAACCAAACTCATTGCAACATTAATACAAGATCTCAACAGCTTTTCTGTTCCTTCAGGGTCTTATTCATGAAACACGAGCAGAACGGGTTTCTGCAGAAATCGCTTGCCAATCCATTGAATGCAACAAAATGTGTTATGCAACTGAGATTCTTAACGTGATACCTGATACAAGTTGTTCTGAATATCCATCAGCTCTGGAGGAAACAGGTCTATCAATTGACGTGCAAAACATTCCTCTTCGTGGATTATGGCCAAATGGAGAATCCTAGAAAACACAGACACACAAACAAACAAAAAAGTTGCTGGTTAAATGCCAGTTAGACGCTGGTTAAAAGCTGAAGCAGAGCCAGGGGAAGGAACTATCAAGCAAACCGCAGTCTAAAAGCAGCACATTTCACAATGTGTGATGGAAAAAATAGGGCGAACGATACTGAGAAATATGCTACACAAAAGTGCATGTCGCTGAAAGACGCATTCAGCCATTGCGCAACACTGGAACTTTTGCGTATTATAAGAGCATTCGTATCAGCGATCGTCTTGCTATCAAATGATAAAAACCCTTCAGAAGGAGCTGCTTTGGTTACTAAAACCCTACAAAAATGACAGCGCAGCTGATTTAAAACACAGATGAGATGTGGAGACATAAAAATCGAAATGTTGCAAATGAAGTGAGGGATTTGCAGTTGAGTGAATCTCAAGAAAACAGGTCCAGGTCACATTTCATCCTAAAAAAAGATTGCATTTTGGATAAGGAAAATAAGGAAGTTTTTCATTAACACATAATATCAAGTGTCCTAAAAATAGACTTTATTTTCTTTATGCAAAATATCCTCTCAGATGATGAGTCACAAACAGAACCAGTAAATGATGCATGCAGGAACATAATGAGTGCATTAATTTATCTTTTTTCCCATCCTCCTGCTGCTGTATTTCCTAGCAGGTGTGCAATTTCTCAGCTACTTTCCCCACATGCGATAACCTAGTCTTCGCTTTTACAGTAAGCCAAGGAAGCAGGTAGAAGCGAGTGGTTTCAGCATGTAAATAATGTGAGAACAGCTTCAGTGTCATTAATCTGACTGTGGTAAATCGTTCATGAATCATATGGTTTCGCTGCATATGAATTTAACAGGTTCAGTTCATCTAAAAAAGAAAATTCGGCTATCATTTATTCCACCTGGTGACCTTGTTCTGTGAAACACCAAAGGAGAGATTTTGAAGAGTGTTCACGCTGCTCTTTTCCCACATAGTGAAAGTGGATGGGGACTGGGGCTGTACTGATATGACTTGTGCACAATATTTCAAGCCTTCTGATAGCTAAGCAAAATGTAATCACCAAACTGCTGTAGCAAATTCCCAATAAAATGAATGTGCATTTAAAATTAAGATCCTTCATTTGCTTGCACTTGTACTGTGCTGGGTAGTAACTGTTGACGCGTAATCTGGATTACGTAATCGGATTCCTAAAAAAAATTACGTACTCATACTTAGATTATTTTACATTTTAAAATGCTGATTATAAAACGGATAGTTCCGGTCCTTGATTCGGATTGGTTGAGCCGCGTTCGAAGCTGTTGTAAATTACTCTACAAACATACACCTTTATTTACTTCTGTGTAAAAAAAATTCAAAGGTAAAATTCATAGTCAACAAAAGCTTTTTGCCAAATGCATGACAGAAATGTTTGCACTGGACTATGTTCTTATTAGGGTTTCCGCGGGTCCTTAAAACGTCTTCAGTTCAATTGTTTATATTTAAGGCCATGCAAACTTGTAATGGTACAAAAAGTCTAAATTATAAGAGGTCTTTGGGGACAGAAAGACAAGAATTGCTATATGGATTAATATGACGATTAAACTTCAAAAGGCTATGATTTCACTGAATAAACTTGAGCGCTGCACGTCAGCTTTGTGTACTGCGGTTACGGGGAAACCACTATATGCGCCGTTCCGAAAGCGCCTCCTGCTGGCAGAGAACGAATGTGCTTTTTCAATAAGCCCATCTGCTATTTTTGCTACATATTTTTTAAATGTGAACCAGTGGATCGACAAAAAGCTAATGCATTATAAAAATCTAAACAATTAAGACACTAAGATATATTTATATGTTATTTAATATAATAATTAATTGATAGTAATTGTTTAAATTAGTATAATAATTTATACTTTTGACTCGTCCCTTTTCTTAAAAATGGTTTAAAGGCTGAAATGTGAAGTGCAGATCTTAAAAAGGTCTTTAAAGGTCTTA